CGTTGGGTGGTCAGCTTTGCTTCTCACAGCATTTTGAAAATATATCAAATACTAGAAAATTTTCTCTGCTCAGCCTTAGCTAGTGTTTTAAATTATATTATAAACAGATACTATTCCTGGCTGATCAGATTAAATTGTTTGTGATATGCTATTTTTTCCATATACAAAATCTCACTGCATTCTCTAAATATGTTGTGTAATAAAATTCTGAAGTTCTCCTTATAGTTAGTCCCTTTGTACTGTCTACAAGTCAACATGGAAAATGGAATATAAGCCTGAATGTGCTTCTTGAAATATTTAATTTCATCTAATTTTAAAGACAGTGAGAAAAAGATTTTTAATGTGGGGGTGGTGAGACACTGGCACAGGTTGCCCAGGGAGGCTGTGGCTGCCCCAACCCTGGCAGTGTTCAAGGCCAGGCTGGATAAGCCTTGAGCAACCTGCTCTAGTGAGGAGGTGTCCCTGCCCAGGGCAGGGGCTTGGGACTAGATGATCTGTAAGTTCCACTCCAACCCTTAAATTCTATGATTCTATGATTCAATTCAAAGACCTTCTATGATCCTCATTCCAGAAACAAGGGAAGGAATGTGGATTATAGTGCTCAGGTATGTCTTCCAGTGCTGCACAAGTGTATGTGACAGTGGCTCACACTCTGCACAGCAACATCTCCTCCTCTGGTTACAGAACCATGGTTATATCATGTTATCCCAATATCTGTGTTGGATATTTATCTGTGTTGGAGTTTCACCTCCAATGAAGTTATTATGCTGAGCCAAATCAGAAGTCATTTAATCACTATATGAAATCAAAATTCTGCTAAAAAACGAAACCAAGTGAAACCTGTAGGATTTGGCTGTGCTATTACACAGACCTTGGTGTGCTTCAGGCACAGTCCCTGCCACAAACAGCAAGGTGCTGGTGCAATTCACTGAAATTTATTACAATTTTATTTCAAATTTAAAAAGAAGCCTGATTTGCTTCAGAGATCTGATTACCAGTGTGGATAAGGAGAGAAAATTCATCTCCCATATTACAATTTTATTACAAATTCAGAACTCAGTGTCACTGAAGTTAATATGACTTGGACTGCTAATTTGAGTGAGAGTGGAAATGAGCCTTGTATTCTTTTTTTTCTGTTCTGCATAGAATATTGTCACCTAGACTGACAGGGAACTTTGCCACAGGTAAGCTGCAAAAGATGTAGCAACTGTTTATGTACCTTTATGTATGTTTAAAGTAATTCATATCTATAAAGACAGCTTTTTTTTTCAGCAGCTGCTCAAAAGGACATACATAGAAATGGTCAAAACAGTAATGGATTTAGTCCCACTGAAACGTTGTATTTTCATATTTGCAAAACTGGTAAAAAAAAAGATTTGTAGAGTTTTTATCATGAACATACTATTGCTTTTCTACAGCACTTTGGAATACTACAGTCATTGGCAGTTGTCACAAAAGAGGCAGACAAAGAAAGGTGTATTCAAAGCCTAAAGTAGTAACGAGGTCACAGAGAATCTTATTTTTAGTTCTACTTTAAAACACAAAAAATAATGTGTGCCTCAAAAATAAGAACTATAGAACTATACCTTTCTAAGAATATATGCTGCTTTCACTTTTACATTATATCCCATCCAGGCTGAAATCACAACTATTATTTGCTCGCAGCAGAACAAAAAGTTTCTGAGGGTTTTCACTGGTTTTGTCATTACTATGAGAAAACATTCCCCTCCCAACAATAGTGAGTACTACAGTGAACACTACAAACTCTCAAGTTTCAGGTGAGTCTCCACTTGGCCTCCTTATCCTCTGGTTTACCTGGATGTTTCTGATTCTCTTTGAAATTCTCACAGTAGAAGGTAAGTTGACTGAAACAAACCTTCTAGTAAAAATGTGGTGAAAAATAACACAAGTACACAGCCTGTCATTTTGTCTCAACTCAATGAGAAATCCCTTCTTTGAAACACTTTCTTGGTAGGTACAAACTGGTACACAGTGGTCATGGTTAGCATAGAGTGACTCAGCTATACTGTAGAAACAGCTAAATACAGAATGACTTTTTTAAGACAAAAAAGAACTTTTCAAACCAATCTATCAACACTGAGAATCATTAAAAAGAAGGCTGATTTGTTTCAGAGATCTGATAACCAGTGTTGATAAACAGAGAAAATTCATCACCCAGAACATGTCTGCTCATATAAATTGCTTATCTATGGAAGAATTCAAAAATCATCTTCTCCTCATGAGGGGAATTGAACATTTTTGCTCTGGTTGGTATAATTGTCACCAGTAAGCTTAATCACTGCAGACTTAATGTGCTCAGGAAAACTTGTGACAGGATGATTAGCAAGACTCTTCCCTGAGGAAGGTGCTATAGTCAAGAATTAATTAGGAAACTGGGGGTATAAATTTGTAAGGTCATGTCCAGAAGTCTTTGTAGTAGAAACAAAAGGGGAACAGGAGAAACAAGGATCAGAACAAAGAGTGTCTGTAAACTAGGTATATTTTCTAATGTCTTACCTAATATTTCCCATAATGCATAAACAGATAATATATTCTCTATTATTTGTCAGAATGCACATCTGGTGATTAGGAAACTTGGGAATCGAAGACAGGATTTATGCAGAATTCGTCTGTTGAGTTTATTTTGGTTTGTGCTTAGTTTCTGACTTCTTGGCTTCAGTGAACTTGTCATCTGTGATCAGCAAATGACGTGACAGACGTTGCACAGTCACAACTCTGGACCTGTCTTCATCTAGGTCCTCAGCTGGTTTCAGGAGTTATGCAGACTTCCTGAACCAATATTTCACCTTGCTGTCCACACAGCTCTAGTAGCTGGTATTAAAAGACACATCTCAGTATCCCCCGAGGGACAGAAGAGCACTGTGAATTAATTTAACTTAGCAGTTCTATTTCTACAAACTTGCTACAAACTAATGCAATTACATGGTCAAGCAATGACACACTTGTGCTATGGTTAAGTTCCTCTAATGCTAGTTTCAAACACCTAAGGTAACAAAAAAAACCACTTCAAGAAAGACTCGTTAATTAAAGAATGGCTGATAAATACAAAATCGTGGTGTTGTATTAATGTTCTTGGGTGACTTGTACCACTGCGTGTCAGACAGTGGTGAAAAATGTATGAAAGTAAAAGATGATATACTTCCCTTATTTGACCTTCTTTAATGGAAATCTTTGTTACAAGTTCTGTATTGATATAAATCTTAATGAAAATTTATTTACTTCGCAATGGGTACTTTGTGCTGATTAGGTGAGAAAGGATTACCTTCTTTCCTGCTATTTATAACACAGCTAATGATTTTTTTCTGGGGGGTGAATATCTTCTATTTATCTTCAGATTGTTTTCCTTGACAGGGACAAAGTCAGGACAAAAAAGGTCTTCATTGCTTCTTTTGCTACAGTCCAAAAATATGAGGCTGCTTCCTGTGAAATGGTTCTACTCACCCAGGTATTCTCATATGTACAGGTCATATTTTCTATATAAAGGGTGTTCTCTTGAATTTTGAATATTACACTAGATCCCCACTAATCTAACCGATTTGGGGGAGAGTGTGGATCTGCTGGAAGGCAGGAGAGCTCTGCAGAGGGACCTGGATAGGCTGGAGAGATGTGCTGATTCCAAGGGGATGAGGTTTAACAAGGCCAAGTGCTGGTCCTGCACTTTGGCCATAACAATCCCATGCAGAGCTCCAGGCTGGGACAGAGTGGCTGGAGAGCACCAGGCAGAAAGGGACCTGGGAGTGTGGATAGACAGAAAGCTGAACACGAGCCAGCAGTGTGCTCAGGGGGCCAAGAAGGAAGAAGAGATTTTTTATGGAAAGAGT